GSYKGKTKKTTKGSKGKKGKKSYTTTKKKGKTTTGGGGKTTTTTTCTTCCCTCTCCACAGCAAGGCTTTCATGGAAGATATCTTTTTTTTTCTAGGATACATCCTGACTTCTGTGCAGAAAACAATCCAACCCAGAGCTGTTGCAGCTCCATCAAGAACCTCCACCTGGTCCTGCTTGATTCCAGCTCCAGCTTTGTTGAGGCAATGCCCAAGATGATAAATGATCATCCCTCTGAACCTGGGCAGGCTTTTGGCAGAGTTCTGTCTGTGATTGTTGTGCATCTGGATGACTAATCCTTTAGTTTTGCTGTTGTTTGTTTCCTGGAAATAATGGTTATTAAATCTGAAGGGCCCTTATAAAAATTTCTCTTATTTCCATTAAAAMTTTAGTTATAGGCTCTGCTAACTGCTTCAAACTGGTCCCAAGCTCTCGGAAGGGCCCTGGGTGTTCTGTCTGTTTCTGGGTTGGCCTTCATTTATGGAATATTCCCGAGTTATTTTCATCTGGTTTGGAATCACAGAATCACTGAGGCTGGAAAAACCCTCTAAGATTGAGTCCAAATATAAACCTGACMCTGCCAAGGCCAGCCCTGGMCCGTGTCCCTCAGTGCCACATCTGCCCCTYTGCCAAGTGCTGATCTTTTCAATGTCCTGCACTACCAGGCACCCACTGATCACGCTGTCCATTTGTGCTCAGCTCTCTAAACCCACCTTGGATGGATCTCCCTAAGCTCCACCTTGTCTTGCACCAATTTTTTCTCTTCTGTCCTTTCCCTCCATCACAATTTATAGTTTCCCAGTTTGCACATTTGAAAGGAAATGAAAACATGGCCAGATTTACCACTCTTCATTTTCAACTGCATTTGATTCTCATTTCATAGTTGCTCAGTTTAAAACTATTTAGTGTCCCACTGTTTGCATGGTTGTAGTTTCTTAATCACTGTTTTGCACCACGCTGCATTCCTCTCTGAATGTGTGACTTTTGGCACTAGTCTTTAATAATAATACTCTTACATATTTAATCTGTTGCCCTTAGATTGCCAAAGGCTTTTCCCAAAGGAATCAGCTTCACTACAAACAGGAAGAGGGAGAGGGTGAAGTGACCTTGGTGTGGAATTGCAGTGATGGGAACAGGCARGACCTGCTGATTCCCAGCCACTTCCCAGTTACAGGTTGGAACTCTGAATCCCTTGAACAGAGACTCAGTAAAAACAAATGTAACTAATTATTAGGAAAATCAAAGTTGCCTGAATGTTCTGGTTTTCCTCTAGAAAACAAAGCAATATGTCTATTTAAAGCTCATTAATTCAATCCCCTCTTGAGTGCTTTGATGGAAGGGCTGGCTTCAATCTGGTTACATCTGATAGAAAGGGCTGAGGAGAAAGATGGAAAACAATGAATTCTTACTCATTTAATCTTGGGATCCAGTGGGATTACGGGTTTTTGTTTTCAAGTTGCCTGGTTGCTGTTCTGACTGGCAGACTAACAATGCCACAGTCTGGGCACAGGAATAAAAATCCATTAATGGATCTGCAGAGGGGCTACAATGTGCAGCTGTGCAGCCCTCTCTGCTGCCCAATTAAAAATTCAAAGGAATAAAATCTCTGCATGGCACAGTCCCCTCCATGCAAGTACAAAACTGAGTGGATCCATCTGTTCCTGAGACATCTTCAGCTGCAGCAGTCCAAGTCCAGCAGGGAACAGGGAATGCACCAATGCTGGGCTTCAGCCGAGAGCAGGGATCAAAGAAATCATCTGGAACAAGAATGGAAATGTGGAACATTGCTACAATTTTAGATATTGTTCTCATTTCAACCATTTCATTTTTGCCCCCCTCTTTATGTTTGGTTTGGTTTGTGTTCGGTTGGTTTTGTTTTTTTTTTTTAATTGGGAACGATTCTCTCATTTCTTTCTCTTTTTCCCTTGGGCAACAAGAAATACGGAGAAATGCAGTGAATGCCTCCCGCTGATCTCTCCAGTGCCTCCAGGGCCAGCTGCCAGAGAGACCACGAGCAAAATATGATTAATTATTTTAGAGGATATTCAGTAGCASTCCTTGACTGATTGCAGGGTGCCTGCTCCAAACTCCACGTGCCACTCACAGAGCAGAACAGTTCTTTTTGACCACTGATCAGAATCCTTGTGGGGGCCCAACTTCTATTACAAAAATAATAATTTTATTCCATTCTCATTGTCTGTGGACAAAAAAAAAAGTTTCTTAATGCTGCACATGAATTGTGCCTATCAGAACAGGAGAACTTCCATGATGTTTAGAGACAGGAACTACTCACCTTAAATGAAATGTAACTGCTCCTGTGGTGAAARAGCAAATCCTGTGCTGGATGAGCTGTCTGGTAGCCTGAAGGCTCCAGCAGGRATGGTGGGCACAATTTCCTCCTCTGGTTCTACAAAGCAGCTCCTTCTGAGCCTTCCCAGTGTGRGTGAGTGGAACCAATTGGATCTTCCACCCTTGACTGGTGCTCATTTCATTTCTGCTCTGTGTAGAAGCCCACGCTGCTCTGAGATGGGTTTTCATGCACCTTCTGGAAGAGAAAGAAGTTAATTTAGAAAATGAGATCACAATGAGAAACTGAAGGATTCTGGAATAATTTTTCAAGGTAAGTAGATACTTGATGGATGTGGTTGACAGACTTGATATGACTTGAGGAAACAAAGGCACAGATTGAGGTAGAGATTCTTTTCCAAATGCACTGAACAGGCTGTCAACCTGCCTCACTTAAWTCACATCTGTTGAAGATAAATCTGAATGAAAATAGAATGATAATCTGAAGAATATAGAATAGAATGAATAATAGAATATATAATAGAATGAAAATYTGACAATAAATCTGAATGCAAATAGATCACCCTGAATGGTGGAGAGCTGCAGGACACAGCTTTGGGTTAAGTCACTTCTTTCTCTCTCCCTTTTGTTCCTTATCACCTGTTGTCGATATAAGGAGAACTCAGATACAGCATTATTTATTTTAACCACTTTCAGTCTCATTTAATTTTAATTAGATTAATCTTAATTTTAATTTTAATTTTAAGCAGCTGTGAAACTGATGCTTTGATTCTACTCCTTGAGTATTTTGGAACCTGGCTGTCTACAGCAGCTGAGAYAGGCTCAGCTGGTTAGAGCAGGGTATGGGCTGATCCCTGTAAGGGCCGTTCACTCAAAGCTCAACGATCCTTGTGGGTCCATTCTAATGCAGAATTTTCTGGGATTCTGTGAAATTTAAAAGCAAAAGCTGTAATGAAAGCCTGTGGGACAGATGTTTCTGACTTTCACAGTTTTGTCGAATCCTGGGCTATTTACTCTYCATTTAGAGACAACCAATATTTTTTGAAAACTGAACGTTACACAGAGAACTTGTAAAATACCCCACTAAAAGCTTCAATATCAAGGCACAGAGCAGGCTGACTTATGAGACATGGTCAGTGATTTAACTTCTATTTTATGTGCCTCAGGCTCTGTGGTATCTGATCCCATCTGCTCTGGCGTTTCTTTTTCTGCTCATGCTTGGCCAAGGAATTTCCCATTCCTTTTGCATTTCCTTCCTGTCTTAGGTCACATGGAWGSTGTAACCAAAGTCTGTATTCCATCAGCATCTCCAGGAGCTGTTAAAGCAGCTGGGGCAGAGCTCTTTATCTCCAGCATGAGGCAGCCCTGATAACACCCTCCGGGGGCCATCTCTGCTCATGGGCCATCCAGGGCTCTGGGAATGAGCCATGGAATTCCATCATCCCATTGGGAGATGCCCCGGCCAGACAGGAGSAACTGCACATCCCTACTGGCACAGWAACKGAGGCTCTGGGACACTGGGACACTTGTGCCACTGCATTCCCAGAGGAGAGGAGCTCCAGAAGCAGCCCTGGAGCTGCAGAGACGGACTGGAGCTGTGTGCAGGATCAGCTCTGGTGCAGGGAGTCTGGGAATTCCTTGTGGATGAAATTGCTGAGGAGCTGCTCCCCTGCTCCAGGGAACTCCAGTCTTGATATCCTCGTGTTTAGGAAACATTAGGACTGAAATATGGAAAGGTGTCCATTTAGACTGAGCTAGTAAATGAAAATGTGTTAGTTTGAAAGCAAACCAGCGGGGGAATTACCCCCACACAAATATGTTTCARGAGATTCTAAGTCAGAACTACAATTTAATAGGAAAAATTAAAATCAAGGCAATAATAGAGAAACAACAGCTCCAAGTGTCAGAGTCAGAATCCAAGCTGAGCCCCTGTAGGGCAGGGTGGTGCTGCAGCCCCGTTGCAGTGATGGATGTGCTCTCCAAGTGCAAGTGCTGAGTAAATTGTACAAGGTACAGCAGTCCTTAGGATTTGGATTGGTTTTATGCACAAAAAATGTGGAAGGAGTGTGAGACAATTTCATCTGTCACACTCAGAGAAAGCCTCCACTTTAAGTGTAGTCTCTGTTTCTTCAGCATCAGGAATGCCTGACTACTCTGTAAGAAATCAATGTCACACATTAAAGGAAAATAAAACACTTGAAGCATGAAAAGAAACACGTAAAACTTACCTTGCATTTTGGAAATTAAAAGCAAGATCAAATAAGAAAAAAWCATTAAAGTATATGAGAGCCAGGAAAGGAGAACAACTCCTTATTCATGGGCTTTAAAAGAAGTCAGTAGATTTCCCCTGAAGCAGAAAATCTGGTTAAATTACACTTTAATTATTTTTGAAAAGATTTTCAGCAACTATCAGTGTTAGAAATGGTAGAGTGTTTTGACATTTTAATAACTCAAAATTTCCTGTAGTCATCCAGCAAGGATCTGTTACAGTGTTTGAAAATCATTAGGAAATTCCTCATTAAACTTGCTGTAAGGACACATTTAAATGTAAACATTTATATTTTTATATATGTACTTAGTGGATTATTCCATGTTTAAGGATAAAGAGAACCACAATCTTCATTTAGATGGCACTTGCAGAGTTTGGATTTTTTAAAACAATCCCTGGAACCAGAAACTTTTCTCAGGAAATAACAGCAGCACRGAGCTGCCACTGTCATGAGAATCTGAACAGCTTCAGCAGGAGATATTTTTGGCAATTACAGAGAAACATCCCTAAAACTCATTCAGGGGATTTTCCCCCAAGTATTCAAACCACCTGTGGTTATGGGGATGATTTTATCTTCCTGTAGACACCTGCAACACTCCAGGCAAGAGAAGTCACCAAGCCTTTCCAATGGGAAATTTCTGAGGAGCTTCACAAATGCACAGAACAYTCCTGCAATTACCAGGAAAAGCACAATTTTTATTAGCAGAGGAGTTGAAGCAATATCAGCAGGTAAAACATGGTCACTTCTAAAAAGAACCTGTATTAGCTCATGTTTTTTTTCACATTCTAAATTAATGATAAAAGGAAGGGAAAAAAGGAATCTGGAACAAAAGATGAAAACACTATTTTTTTATTAGAGTTTTTAAAAGGTGTTTTTTTGTGTTCCAGGGTTGCTTTGACACACTGAGTATCAATTGATGGTTTGCATTAGAGCTTGACTTTATAACATGGAATAAATCAAATGGATGATCCATAACTGCTGCATATCAGAAACATTCCAATTTCACTGAACTCTAAGTAAAGGAGCCTATAATGATTTTGCCAAATTGCTTCTCCAGAATCCTTATAAAGCTGTGAGTTAAAGAGTGACTATAAACACCGCTAGAAAAGCACCTTTTAAAATATTTTTTCTACTTTAGTGGTTTCAGCAATACAGACTATTCCAAGAGTCTTGGAAAATCAGCCCCTTGTGCTTCCAAGACAGAAAAAATTCTACTCATATTTTTTTTAATTGAATAATAAAAGTTTTATTGAGAATGACTCAAAGGACAAAAAAGGCACTCCAAAAAGGGAAATATACTACAAAAACCCAGCATATGTTTTAAACTAAAAGTTCTTCCGCACCAGTGCAGCATCAGCCTGAGCTTTGTGTGGAAAAATTATAGGCAAATTATATTTGAAAAGATCATTCACCTTTTGAAAGTAGGCCACGTATAGAATTTTTTTCATTAACCAACTCATTCACTCTGCTAATCCACACTATTGTACAAAACAATCTCTATTTTCTCTCAWTTTTTTGTGATTCCAGCAGTTCTGGGAGACACAATGTAGCTTAAACACAACAATAATAAGGGAAGCACGCCATGGACAAGCATGTGGAAATGGAATCGTTCAATGTCATCTTGGGAGGTTTCCTAGGACCGKTGGAAATGGTTGGCGTTATTAACTGGCATACAGAAAAAGCAGAATTAACTCACTTAAACCCATAAGGATGCAGTTATCCACCTTTTCCCTCCTCGTCCATCACTGCTTGCTCCAGGTTTGTCAAGCACATTGTGTGTTTCCCTTCAYCCGTGTAACTCGTTCGCTACGGTCGATGCACCACGCCGCTCAATGCAATGCATATTCCCAGATCATTTGTATATTTGCAAGGAAATAATTTGGTCTCAAAACAATTTCTTCCATGGATGTCAACAGCTAGAAGCAGAGCWGTTCCACTCCTCGTTGTGAATGAGGGGGAGCTCAGGACAGGGAGCTGTGGTGGGCAGGCTGGGACTGGAGGAGCTGTGGGTTACACTGGGACCATCCCCAGCGCCCTCACTGAGGAACGATGGGAATGTTGAAGAGTGAGTTGAACATGAGCTAAACAGAGCACTGAGAAACACAGAATCATGGAATATCCTGAGCTGGGAGGGACCCCCAGGATCACCCAGCCCAACCCCAGCCCTGCCCAGACCCCCCAACAGCCCCACCCTGAGCATCCCTGGCAGCGCTGTCCAAACGCTCCTGGAGCTCTGGCAGCCTCGGGGCCGGGACCATTCCCTGGGGAGCCTGGGCAGTGCCAGCACCCTCTGGGGACACAAGAACCTTTCCTGATCTCCAGCCTGAGCCTGGCCTGRCACAGCTCCAGCCATTCCCTGGGTCCTGTTCCTGTCCCAGAGCAGAGATCGGGGCTGTCCCTTGGCAGGAGCTACAGCCCCAGTGAGGTCTGACCTCAGTCCCCTCTGCTGCAGCTGAATCACCCAATTGCTGTCAGCTGCTCTTCATGGGCTTCCCATCAAGGCCCTTCCCCCTCCTCGTGTCCCTCCTTTGGACACTSTCTAACAGCTTTACATCTTTTTGATGTTGTGGTGCCCAAAACTGTCCCCAAGGCTGGAGGTGGGGCTGTCCCAGTGCAGAGCAGGGTGGGACAGTCCCCTCCCTCAGCCAGCCTGATGCACCCCAGGACACTTGGAACCAAAGCAAGGATTGTGCTCTTCGAGGCCATGCCCAAGCTTTAATTTTCATCCTAAATAACATTTAAATCTTTATTCTTGTGCCCCCACCCCTTCCTCGCTGTGTGTCGCTGGGTTTCAATGTTTCCTCCTGCAGTGCCATTGTCAGGACCTTTTTTTTTTTGCAGTTCTTTCTCTCTTCTGCCTTTCTTAATTTAAAAGTAAAATTTTCCATGGACAGATCCATGCTCCCTTCTTCCTTGCCTCCTGTAGACATTAACAGCCCTCCCCAAACTGCAGCCCTGGCTGTGCTTGCAGAGCCTGCCTGGGTTCTGGGATGTGGCCAGTCTCATTCCCAGTGTCCCAGCTGGMGGTGGGGAGCCTTGGCTGTCCTGTCACTGCAGCTGCTAATTCCCATGGGATATGGAATAGACATGGAAATGGGAATGGGAATGCAACAGAGGAATGGAAATGGAGAAATGGAAACTGCAGCTTTAGCCCTAATTATGGAAATGTGACCATGACATGGCAACACTGTCCCACCAATATTTTAACAGCTCTGGGGCATCCTGGATGGACCCTGGAGCTGCTTCCTTGTCCAGGACTGCTGATGGGCCCTGTTTGTGCCCTGTGGGACTGTACCTTGCTGGTGAGGCCATGCCTTGGGGCCACYCTTGGCTTCTGGCTTGTCCCCCTCCCAGGGCAGCCCAATTCTTGCTGCTTTCTGATGCCTCCTCTTGCAAAATCCCCATTTTGGAGTTCCAGTAAGTCAGGGCTGGCTCCTTGTGGAGATCCAAGCTGGCTTCTGGCTCCTTTTTGACTGGAGCATGAGCCCAGAGCAGCTGCTTTGGCATGGCAAAGAGAGGATCAAATGGGTGCTTTGTGGCAGTCCCTCGCTCCGGCCTTGCAGGGTGGCAGCTGCAGCAGAAGGCAGCTGAGATGTTTTGTGCTTCAGCTGTTCTGAAGCTCAATCTCTCTAAAGCGTGCCTGGTTCACCTTCAGGCTGTGCTGCTGCTGAATTCACAGAGCAAGAATTCCAAGGGAGCATCTCGTGGGAGTGATGGCAATGGTCAGAGGTGGCAGCTGGTCACACTGGCACTGCCAAAGGTCTTGGAGGTGGCTGTCACTGAGCTGTGCTGGGTAAGGACCWCTCTGAGAGCTGAGCTCACAGGAGGCTGTTGGTGTGGAGCTCACACACCCACAGACACGGGGAGATGTCAAGAGTCAGCCCTTTAATATCTCACAGCACCTCTCCATATCACCCCAACAACACCAACAGGAGACCAAAATCTTCCATGAGTYCTCCACAAATGCTCTCTRGCTGGCAGCCAAGMATCTCCTTTCAAGGAGCCACTSCYTGGACTCTTCATCCCATCAGGAGAGYGTTCAGCTCTCACCMATGCTCCTCAGCTGAAATATTTCCCTTCACAGCAGCTSAGCTCTTTTASCTTTTCCTAACTGGCTGAMCACAGGAAGGGWCACTGGGAGATGCTGAGTTGGTCCAAACCATCTCCACAGCGCTTCCAAGCACTGTCTGCCTGGTGTGGGGTGCTGGGAGAGCCACAGGAACCCCCTGCCTGCACAGGAGGAGGAGGAGGAGGAGGAGGAGGAGGAGGAGGAAGCCCAGGATGAACGGACCTCAAGCCTCAAGCTCTGCATGTCTGTATCGAGTGTGTAGGTGGAGCATTTCCCTGAGGCTGATGAAGTAAAACTCACAAAGAATGCTTTTCCAAATGAGGAAAGATTACTTGATTATGTGATCTGGGAGTGGTGAAAGAAAGAAAGGAATGATATTGAAGAAATATGGAAAGTAAGTGTGATATGACCTGAGAATGGAATGGGTGCTTTGAATTTTCAATGTTATTAAAGGTATTTGTGATGCAGAGATTAAAGCATGGAAAAGGTTTAAAGAACCCACTACAGAAAAATAAACTGAGCATAAAAAACAAACCAGAAGAAAACAAACACAGGAAGAAAACCAAGCTGACTGGCAAGAGGAGAACACTCAACYTGACATCATAAAGTAGAATTTCAGTCCAGACAGGGAGCACAGTAAATACAGAGAYAGTCTGACTAAGAAATTATGAATGGAAACAACTATCATAACTAGARTTCAGCAGGACAAAGCACAGTCTAAATCTTAGAAAAATAAAGTCTTTTCATGAAGTGACTCTTTTGACAGTTCAATGATAGATGAAGATCAGCTCGACCCAGCTACATTTACAGTTCCAAGGCAATTTTTCACTGTGGCATTTTGGAGTTGCTCACCATGTAATTAGGAGTGCACGCATTTTTCTGCTCAGCTTTTAAAAATAGATATTTTACAACACATTCTCTGTACTTTCAGCAGTCATTTCCTCCTGATGCTCCGAACGTGACTCTGTCAAGCTCCGAGAGCTCCCTGCAGCTGCTGGGCCCCTCACACATTTGGAAATCACTGAGGTCTGCTGTCCACATGCCAGCAACTCAAAACCAGATTAGGATTGATGTCCTCCTGGAACCTCGTGTTTCTGCAGCACAGGAGGGAGGAAAATAGCAAGCCTCTTTGTTAGGCTTCTTATTTCCATCATTTCGGCAAATTTTAAAAGCCATAAAGGTTTTCTGCGAGAAAGCCAATAAAAATCTGTCTCCACTTAACTCAATACAAATGTTATTTTAAATGCCTTTACTGAATGCAAATAATTATTTTGTGCAATGCAAATCCTAGAATTGTGGGTCCTCACCTTTGGTGTAGTCCAAAAGAAGCAGCAAATTGAGAGGAAGGACAGACCCTAAGCCTCCTTCATAGGAAGACTTGTGAAAGCAGGAGACTCTTCCAGAATCTTATTTTAATTTTTTGTTGCACTTTGGAGATTATGAACACGTCAAAACTCATTTTCAATGCTACTTTGGCCATACCCAGTTCATCTGGTGCTATTTTCTTTTGCTTCTAGGGTGRGGTGCACAAGAAGAATTTGGAAATTCAGTTAAGGAAAAGACTTGCATGACCTGCAGCTGCCTTTGGATGCTTGTACCTGCTGCAGAGAGATACCTGGGCAAGCTGCAGCAGCAGAATCTGTCAACACATAACTCTGTCCAGAATGCAAGGGTTGAAGTAACTTTAAGAAATGCCAGATTTTCCAAGATGACATGCCCAAATGCCAATCTAAAATCCTTAATCTAAAAAAGAGATTATGACTACTGAAAACCAGATGTTTTGACTTTGTAGAATGGGCTAAATCTCTTTGTACTGAGGAAGAATAGCAAAAGAAGTATAAAAGCATTTAATGAAAGGAAGCTTTGGTTTGGTTCCTATTTAGTGCCTGTTCCCACTGATTTTTTTTTTCTGAATCGGAGCATTGATGGACGGAAAAGTACTCATTAGAAAAGGCTGCCTAGGGAATTTTATTGAATTGTTAATAGAATTAACAATTAGTAGCAATTGCTAATAGCAAAAATGATAAGGGCAATCTACAGACCCGATGGGAATCTGGTTTTAGCCCTGCCCAGACCCCCCAACAGCCCCACCCTGAGCATCCCTGGCAGCGCTGTCCAAACGCTCCTGGAGCTCTGGCAGCCTCGGGGCCGGGACCATTCCCTGGGGAGCCTGGGCAGTGCCAGCACCCTCTGGGGACACAAGAACCTTTCCTGATSTCCAGCCTGAGCCTGCCCTGGCACAGCTCCAGCCATTCCCTGGCTCCTGTTCCTGTCCCAGAGAGCAGAGCCAGGAGTGTGGTTTTACCCCTTCACATGAGGTCAGCCCTAATCCTGTAAAGGTTTGCAATATGCAGCCCAAGCCATTGGTCAGTACCACATAAGGACAGGTGGACCTTCCCTTCCTGCAGCAGAGCTGTGCCTGGAGGCCTCAGGGTTGGTGTGTTCCCACCAGGCTTCACTGCCTGATCTGCAAAGAAGAAAACCTCCAATCCTTGGGTTGTAGCATTGGGCTCTCCCCGGCGCCATTGCACAGGAGAATTTTCCTGTTCTGGATCCCATATTCCTTCTGGATTGAAGGGTGTACAGCCTGGGGAAATACTCCTGCATAAACAAAACTGACAATAGTTTTTGCATTTTTTGAAGCAGTGAGAAGCAAAGTAGGACRTAGTGATGGAAGGGAGGTGAGAGCAAATGTGTTCAAACCAATCCATTCTGCAGGATCCAAATTTTCAATGAAGAGGCTCCCAATCGTGTGGAGCTTGTGTCAACAGCTCCCTGTCCAAAGAAAGGATGCCTGGAGGATGTTCAGTGTGCAGCAGAGATAATAAAKTTATTAAACACAGATCAGGGTTTGTGAGCCATCACAGTCCCTGTGCCCATGGCATCACAGGAAGGGCAGGACTTCCATGTGAAAGAGTGAGCAGCTGGATGGTGTAAAACAAATGTGGAATAGACCTGGTTTGAAGCACAGGGTCTGTCAGGGAAGGTGGGAAGCTCCCTTGGAATGGAGAATCCAAGCTGAGCCCCTGTAGGGCAGGGTGGTGCTGCA